TTTTTGTGACATGCTCATCGCCTGTTTGATCCATTTTCTTGCCTGTGTCCAACGTCTCAAACGTTACTATTATTAATATCAGTATTAATATTGGGAGAGAGAGAGAGGGTTACGGTCTTAATGATCTGTAAGTAGAATTAAGAAAATAATTAATTTTTCTACTTAGAACATTCTATTCTAATTCTCTAATAAAATAAGAATATATATGGACTCGTTTTAATACCTTGTGCGCGGCGAATTAGAAGAGTACTGATGACGTGGATGATAGCAATGAGGAAATAAAATAGTAATAAAGTTCATGAGAAGATAATCTCCATCAGAAAATAATTACTGATGATATTGTTCTCTTTCTAACGAACAAAAATAGATAAAAATAGACTTATTGGCATTGTCAACGTCCTAGCCCCTGCGCCACTAGGGTTGTGTGAGGAGAGGGTAGGTAGGTATGGAGGGTAGGTAGTCAAAACAGAGGGTTCATAGTTCCTGAACATTCTCGGGAGAGGGTTATAGTTCCCGAACATTCTCGGAGAAAAGGGTAAAAGTTGTGAAATCAGGTGAGAAGAGACTAATCCCTTACGTGATGAACTAAGATTTGAATCCTTGCTAAGAGAGGTGTCTACATTTAGTGCCCGACAGTGTCTCGAATAGGATTGTCTCTAATAGGAGGATACTTATGTTTTAGCAAAAAAACAAGTGAAAGAGACTTCCGGTCAAAAAACAAGTGGGAAGAGACGCAAACATTAGTATTACTCCCTCGTATTATTATTATAAATTCTAAATAACTAATTAAAAATAGTAATAGATTAGAATTGTATTGTTGTTTTTAAATATACTCTTATGATAAATTAGACAAAAGATAAAAGATAATTCGTGGGGAAAATATAAGAAGAGAGAAATAATTAAAGACAATTAAAAATATATTAAATGTTAAAGCAAATCCAAATTAAAGTTTATATAATAGAGCATATTCCTTTCTAAATTTGAAATTTATAAATAGAATTAGAGGGAATACCTCCTATCTTAAATATAAGATTTAATTTATAGTGTAAATTATACTATAAATTAGATTTTATATTTAAAATTGAGGTGATTTGCATGTGGTACTTCATATAGGTCATGCTGCTTATGTGTTTTTTTTTTTTTTCCTTTGGGGGTTATATGTTGTTTATGTCTTGTTTTGCTGTTTTGACTCAATACTATTCAGGATTCATGTCTTAACAAAATTTGGCCCAAACAATAAATGTCTTGTCAAAACAAATTTCCTGCAATTTTATATTCACGTCAATATTGATTTGTGTAAATCCTAAAACTAAATGAACTAATACAATTTTTGTCCCTTAAATTTACTTTCGTTTAAATTTTAAATCATAAATTTTATCTATCAAAACCATTTAACTTTTTGTCCATGGTGATTCCACTCCCGCTTTGTCTTTTACCTTCTATCATTTTTTTTTCAAGTTGATTTTGAGGAGAACATTGAAAACAATTTTTTATGTTTTCAAATGCAATTTTTTTAAAAAAATTTTCTAAATATTTTTTGGTTTAAAATTGGTTTTAAAAACAATTTTATTAAACTATTTTAAAAAAAAAAAAAAAAAAAAAAAAAAAAAAAACACATCTTAAATTTCAAATTCTCGAATTCAAGAATTACAACAAAAATGTATTGTTATTTACTTTTCAAATATAATTAATTACTATTTAAATGTGGTCACTAAGACTGATTTGAAATTTTAAAATCCAAGAGGTATTTTTTAAGGATTTTTTCAAATATAAAAACACAAAAAAAAAACAGAAACAGATATCACCACAGTTTTTATTCTGATATGCCATGAATATCCTGCTGTTAAATTTTTGATGTCATCTGATTTATTTTTCTTCCCAGTCAAATTAGCGAAAAGGATTTGTTTTTTCCTTCGTTTTCTTTGTGGAAAAAACCTCTTCAACTTGAACAAGGCTAGGCTTCACGTTTTCCAAACCACATCGGACAAAGCATTTTAAAAAATATATATAAATTTTTTTAAAAAAACTGGTTAAGATACAATGTAGGTATTAAATATAATGTTGTTGTCAATAATCACATTTTCGGTTGTCCCCATCAAGACTCCGTGGATTGGAAAAGCATCATCCATTGACCGATGACCTCGCCAATTTAATGTATTTAAATATTTTGCAATTATATTTCACATTATCAAAGTGACACGCTACTGCTCATTAATTTTAATTTATTAACTGAGTTAAATCGGTCAAAATTATATCTCGTGAACACGCAACTTTAGAAATTATGAATAATATTGTAAAATATAAAAAAACAAAATTGTAACCTTAATTTGTGAGAACCGTAGGTAGGTCACTTGTATAAAAAGTTATTAATATTTTGATTTATAATATCTTTTTTAAAATTATCAATCTAAAAAAAAATATTGTTTTAAAAAAGGAGTTAATAATTTTTTTTGGGTAAAAAAGTCAAGTATCGTTCTCCCTTTTTGTTTTTAGGAAAAAAAATCACCAAATCTTTATAATTGATATATAATTTATAATCAAATACACTCAATTCTAATTGAAGCTCAATTTCTTATATTTAATAATTTCATTTGTTAGTTCATATGTTTTATGATTCGGCTACAGTTCAGGTCTTACATGACTTTTTATTTCAATAACATCAAGCATCTTTTTAAGTTTTTTTGTTTAGCCATGAAGTTGTGAGTTCTACCATTTATAAACTTAAAATGTATTTGGATTAATTTTTAAAAAATAATTTTATGATATGAGATAATTATAATTCGATGTAATTGCTTCTAAAAATCTAATTTAAATATTCTTCCGATCCTAAATATAAATATTATCTTATGATATAATTTATAATATAAAATAATTTTATATTTATGACTAAAAGGGTGCTATTTTTAAATTTGGTAAATGAAAGATAACCGGAAAAAATAATTTTACCATTTTCTTATTTGTCTAAAATTTAGGCCTATATCGTTATTTATTTATGCTGGTGTCAGCAAACAACGGACGCAGACTGGCTTCGGGATGCCACTGCAAATGGGAGGCCAGGGGAGCTCGTCGTTATGGCGTCAGGAGACAGACACGTGTCAAGTAATGAAACACAAGGACAAGTGGCCAGCGGACATTTTGGGACGGAATCGAAGGGAACTTTTTTTTTTACTTCTAATTTTCTTAAAAAAAAAACAGAGTTTTTTACATTACATAAAATTATACTCTTCCGATCCTTAATATAAGACCTATTTAACTAATTTGATTAGATTAAGGAAGTTAGGTAAGTTAGTTAATTATAAGAAAAGTGACACATTTTTTCTAAAACACCATAATCATCTTTTTTAATACCCATCTCCCTCTTATATTTGATTATAGTTGAGGGAATATCTATAGGGGTAATTTAGAGAAAATTGATAAATATGAGAAATGAGTCTTATATTTAAGACCAAAACCAACTCAAAAATTGAGTCATATATTAAAGATCGGAGGAGTAGTTCATGTTTAATAATTATCAATTAACATTCTGTATTTTTTACATGACATAAAAAAACTAGTTTTTTACATTACACAAAATTATAGCTCATATATATCTTTTAATTTTAAATTGTTGTTCACAATTTTTTTGGAGTTAATATCATGGTTGGCTCTTATAATTTAACTGAATTTTGGTTTAGATCCTTGCAATTTTAAATTACCAATTTTTGTCCTAATTTTATAATGACTTGTACAAATTTAAAGCATGGGAATCAAAATCAAAATCAAAACTCATCAAGGGCATAAAAAATTACAAGAACCAAAAATAATAATTCAAAACTAAAAGACGCGTGTACGAAATCTTGTCACAGGTCTTTCAGATCATTTGTCATAATTAATAATAGAAGTCCCTTTCTCTTCTTTTTTTTTTTAATTTTTCTGACATGATGAGTTCCAAATTATATAATTAATTTCATATATATGCATATAGTATATAATTTTTTAATATTTTTATATAGTAATTTAATAAATAATTAATAAATATTAATCTCAATTGACATCAAATAAAATACTACTTTCAATCCTAATTATAAAACCCAGTTGACTAATTTGAGGAGATTAAGGAAAAAAATTAAGTTAGTTACTTGTAATAAATATGTATTATTTTTTCAAAAATATCCTTACTAATCAATTGTATTGACTAGAACTACAATTATTAGAAGGTTACCTTAAAAAAAAACATAAATATAAGAGATAAAATATATTGAGGTCTTATATTTAAAACTAAAATAAAAATCAAATAAACTCTTATATTAAGAATAAAACTTGTACCACATAGTCATTATTCTTAAATAGTGATAATGCTTTTCATAGCTAACCACCGGCAAGGCGCTTGGCGCTTGGCGCTTGTGAAGCGGTTACGAGCGTCATATGACAAGACTCGTTCCGATGGGAGGTGCCGCCAAACTTTGTTCCGTGAGAGGAGAAGGAGCGTGTGGTTATGGGAAATCAAGTTCTTATTCACAGTAGACTGCGGGACATGCCCATCACTCTTCCGTCTTTATATAGATAGCGAAAATCCTCTTCTTCTTCGTCTTCTTCATCCTTCCAAGCCGTGAGAGAACTGTGAACAAAGGCCGTACGCAAACCCATCTTTCTGAAGCTACTGAGGTCGATTACGGTTAGTCATGGAAAATGAGGCATCCATGAATCACGAAGCAAAAACCGCTTCAACCATCACCATTAAAGGGATTCTCAGCCTTTTAATGCAAAGCGTTGACGGGAATGGTGGCGATAAGAGAGTGATTTCTATGGGCATGGGTGACCCTTCTATTTATACTTGCTTCCACACCACTAATATTGCTCAGGAAGCTGTCGTTGATACGCTTCAATCTCAGAAATTCAATGGCTATGCTCCTACCGTTGGTCTTCTCCAAACCAGAAAGTAACTGTACTTCCTTGCCTGTCATTTTGTGGATTTCGATTTCTTCTCGCTCTTCAATCTTCGTGTTTTTGTTCTCGCTTGCTGAGTTTTGTCTCTTTTGCTTTTCGAAACTATTCTTTCTTGATTATGATTGTTACCTTGATAATTTCAAGATCACCGCTGTTGAAGTTAAAGTTAGCTGTTAAATGTTGAAATTTTGTGTTTAAGACAGTTTAAACCGAGTATTGAATTTTAAATTAAAAAGCAATAACCACAACTAAATAGAACATTCATCCACATACATAATCCAACAAAGCAGAGTTAGTATATATCTGATGAACTCTTTTTCTTTTTCTTTTTAAACTAAAAAACGACATGGTTTCAAATTTTCAGCCGGAGGACCAAAAAATATAAAATCTAAACCGGTTAACTTGTCCAAAACTCTTGATCAGATTGGCCAAAGGATTGTTTCACCCTTTGCTTGGAAAGATGTCTTCGGGCATCTCACAAGAAGCATTATCGGATTCATCCTTGCACTTGCAGTTGAAAGAATTTAAAATATCTGCTCCTTTAGGTTTTCGTGTCTATGATGTTTTTATTTCTTCTTGGTGACAGAGCAATTGCTGAATATCTGTCCCGTGATCTTCCCTACAAGTTGACATCCGATGATGTTTTTATTACTTCTGGATGCACTCAAGCTATTGATGTTTCAGTGGCAATGCTTGCTCACCCTGGAGCAAACATCTTGCTTCCGAGGCCAGGCTTCCCAATCTATGATCTCTGTGCTGCATTCAGACAAGTAGAAGTTCGCCATTATGATCTTCTTCCTGAGAAAGGCTGGGAGGTTGATTTGGAAGCTGTTGAGTCTCTTGCAGATAAGAACACAATTGCATTGGTGATTATAAACCCAGGAAACCCTTGTGGAAATGTGTACAGTTACCATCATTTAAAGAAGGTTAGTGTTATAGGATTTGACTTAAGGTGAAATAATTGAGACAAGACATTTATAGAATTGGCACTATCAGCACAAAACACTACTAATTGTTGAATGGTCCGTATGTCGCACTTAGATTGCAGAAACTGCTAAGAAGCTTGGCACTGTTGTGATTGCTGATGAAGTCTATGCTCATCTTGCATTTGGAGCCAATCCTTTTGTGCCAATGGGAGTTTTTGGATCTGATGTTCCTATTATTACTCTTGGGTCCCTATCTAAGCGATGGATAGTTCCTGGATGGAGACTTGGTTGGTTTGTGATAAATGATCCTTGTGGCACTTTTAGGAAACCGAAGGTTCTCTTCCTTTCACCTTCACTTTGGTTAACACAGTTTTTAATATTTGCAAGTAGTTATACCTGCAATTTAAGCTTTAACTTGCATGTGCTTGAATATCGATCCCATGGTATGCAAACAAGCACATGCGAAAACGAGCCCATCTGTTACCTCCCCTTGGGGGGGGGTGATGATTTAAAAGGGGATTGACATTTCTTTATTATATTTGTTCGTATTCTCTCCTCTTTGTTAGCTTCACAATATGGGAATAAATTGGTGTTCAAAATTGGCTTAAGATCATCTGTTTTGTTGTCATATGCATAGAATCAAATGCTTGAAAATATAAATGTTTTGTAGTTGAAAGATATCATTATTACCTTAAAAAGCTTAAGGTTTTAAACTTTGACATTTTCCTTCTTACCTGATGCCATCAAGTCGATGTTTAATTATGCAGGTTGTTGAGAGAATAAAGAAGTATTTTGATATTTTGGGGGGTCCAGCTACCTTCATCCAGGTTTTCTATCTTTTGGTTTGCGTGGTTCTTTCTTACAATCAGTCAATTATCAGAGTTGAAACTTGCCAGTAGTGTTAATAACATTGCTAGATGAAGTAACTCAACATGCTAGACAGGATTTACCAGTATCCATCTCAATAAGAAAAACCAAATTGGAGGAAAAGAAAATGAAAGAAAGAAAAGAGAAGTACTAGGATTTGTTTTCTATGGTTTTGAAAAGAGAAGAAAGTAAACTATTGCATTAGGAAGAGTGTTACTCTAGACTACGCTTGTCATTAGGCTATTAGGCTGGAAACTGGTCGTTAGACCTTCTGACAAAAAGTTGCAGTACCACCATGAGAAGTAACTTTGATATAGAATTAACTTCAGTTCGTTATTCCAGGTCTTTTTCTTTCTTTCGTTCTTTTCCTTTTTCATGTGTAATCCTCATTCCTGATCTAATCAAGTTATTTAGTGCAGAAATCTGTTAGGATTTCATCCAAAACCTTGTTCAGTCATTATCTTTTGCACTATTAATTGATAGCTTCTTCATTGCGTCTGACTGATAGAAGTTCTGATCTAACAGGCAGCTGTACCTCGCATAATTACAGAGACTGAAGAGGTCTTCTTCAGGAAAACCCTCAACATGTTAAGGCATACCTCAGATGTATGCTGTAAAGAGATAGAGGATATTCCATGCATTGTTTGCCCTCACAAACCTGATGGGTCTATGGCTATGATGGTGAGTTCATGGCATTGTTGGAATTTTCTTTAGAACTGAATGAATGTCACTATATCAGCATCGGTATTTATTACCTACACTGCAATACAGGTGAAACTCGATCTTTCACTTCTGGATGATATTAGTGATGATATTGATTTCTGTTTCAAGCTCGCGAAGGAGGAATCTGTTATCATTCTTCCAGGTATAATTGACCAAATCATACTCAATTATTACTTTTTGCATCCTTTTTTAATTTGGAAAGCTTTCATTCAAACAGGAAAACAAATCAGATACCTGCTACAGTTCTTGTACCTGATATTCTAGATTCTGTTATTTGTTAACTAATTCACTGCTGGTTAACCTTGGCTACTAATATATAAGCCCATGTTAGGCATGGGAGTAAAATAAACAATCCACTTCTCATTGCGTTTTGTTACATGAAAAATAATCTTCACATAAAACCACTAGGTAATTACAGATAAAAGTATTTACAGTATTTTGGTCGTTGATTCTTCTGGTTTTGACTGCAAGTTTGCCCTTGGATTTCTTAAAATTTAAGAATGACAATCCTATGCAGGAACGGCGGTAGGGCTGAAAGATTGGCTCCGATTTACATTTGCCGTTGATCCATCTGCTCTTGCAGAGGCTATGAAAAGGATAAAATCATTCTATAAAAGGCATGCCAGAAAGTGGTGAAAACAGCAGCAAAATACGCAGTTAAATTAACCACTCTTAATTCTTTGTTATACCAGCACTGGTCCTTAAATCTCTCCTGCAAGGGAAGCGATTTATTCAAACCACTTGATTAGTATGGTAAGATCCATTTAATGTAACATATTGTGTCCCGGGCTTGAATTGTTTTACTGGACATCGCAATAAATTGCATAGTAAAACCTCTTGACGCAAGCATGATCCTCATGGTGGCGATTGTTCTGTAGAATCCTTGTATTATGTGAAAAATGCAATGTAGGGGATCTGAGTTATTGATAAGACTAGCTGTTTGGCAAACCTCAAAATCAATTAAAATAAGCTTTTTTTTTAATTTTATGAAATGAAACTATTTTCATATATTTATCTCGTACAGCACAAAATCTCTTGGAAGTAAAAATGAATCCATCTGGAGAAGTATAATGCATTTACATTGCACATTGCAGGAATGTATATATATGGCTGATGTTCCCTTTGCTCCTAAGGATAAAAATCTCGACAGATTATTCATTTAATCTAATTCAACATATTTTTCCATACATTGTATTGTATTATGTGCAAGAAATAAATCGTATAATATTTATGACTTATGAATTAACATGTTGATATATTGATTCATTATAATTTAAAAATGAGGGCATCTTTGTTTTTAACAACTCAAAGTAAGGGGAAAAAACTTTCCAAAAGGTTTTGCTCCCTGAGAGAAAAATAATTCAATTTTGTGTCCAGGTGCGATGTACCCCTGGCACACTTCAAAAGCTAAACTTGTATTTGTTGTGACCACGATTTGTTTGTTAACAAATAATTCAAAATTAGTATATAATTCGTTGTTGCTGTAATAGTCAGTCCAATCAATAAACTAGGCCGCTGATTAGGCTGAAGAGTAAATCAGATCAAAACAACTGAAATATAAATGTTTTTGCCAAACTCTTTTTGCGAATTCTATAACATGCACAAAAAATTTAGGGGAAATTGCAAAAAAAGACCTTGAAATTGTAAAAATGCAGATAGGGACCCTTGACAACTTCACTTTGGGTTTTGACAAGAATAATATACCCTGAAGTTGTCAAAACCCAAAGTGAAGTTGTCAAGGGTCCCTATCTGCGTTTTTGCAATTCCAAGGTCTTTTTTTACAATTTTCCCAAAAATTTATCTCCTTGCACAGTATTAATAATTGCACACTTGTCATTGCGTAATTTTGGCATATTGCTTTGTATTTGGCGTTGAAAAAGTACTAGAAGCGATTTTTAAAAAATAAAATTCATTTTACATATTTATTTTAATCACTTCTGAAAAGTTAATCCAAGCACTTCTGTATTAAAAAGAAACTATTTTTGTAAAAGAGAATATATGCTTTTTGTTATTTTAATTTGTTTTTTTTTTGAAATCTCAACAATATGTCATTAATTTAATTTTTTTTAAAAAAATCTTGTGTGGTGAGCCGGCATGGGAGCAAGATTGCCATTTGTGTGTGTATGTACGCGTATGTCTTTTTTGCTACTAGCTAGTTTACGAAATGAGACAGTTGTCAATTGATATTAAAAAGGAACTGCATCCAAGATTAAGATTTAAATTTAAAATAAGAGAAAAAATTGATTAGGCTCCGTGTGGCAGGGGCGTGGTCGAGCTTTCGGGATTTGGATTACCTCCATTCCCATTTCCCATTCTCCTGGCAGCCCATAAATAGTAAATTTGAACCGTTCTAATTTTAATATAACAGTTGAGGTATAAAGTGGAGAGGAAGGGTTTAACATGGAAGGTGCCCCCAATTCTGAGCAACTTCTTATATATTTGGGTCCTTCTATGTTTTGTATGTGTGTAACAAGACGACAAAATTATTGAAAAGCATTCCGATCCTAAATATAAAATTTATTTTATAATATAATTTATATTACAAAATATTGTATCCGATCCTAATTATAAAAACTAATTGACTAATTTGAAAAGATTAAAAAAAAAGTTAGGTTAGTTATTTGTAATAAATAAATGTTATCTTTCTTACAATATCTTTACTACTCAAATATATTAGTTAGAACTACTATTGTTAGAAGAACTATCTTGAGAAAAAAATACATAAATATAAGAGATAAAGTGGATGAAGATTTTATATTTATGACCAAAATAAAAATCAAACAAGATTTTATATTAAGAACCGGAAGTAGTATGCCTTATATTTAAAATTGGAGTTATAGCATTTTGTTTCACCAATAGTTCTTTGGTCATTGACATTGGTTAACAATTGGCCACCATCAGCAGCACAACCAGAACACAAGTCTCATTTCATAAGAAAAATTAAATTTTAAGAAAAAAATTGGACTAAGCTGCGCCCAGCACCCTTAACTATTTACCCAGATACGTCCAGTGGCCTAAAGTAATTTTGGGTGCATCCAGTGTCCTAAACTAATTAAAATGGTGCGTTCATATCCCATGCTAACAGAAATGTTATGTTTAACTGTTACTTTCCTGACTCAGCTTAAAGTTGACCCCAGATATTTTAAATGGTAGACATATGGACATTTCATATGTATTATTCTTACTCAAAATTGAATTTATTTCCTTTCTCTTCTTCTAAATAAATTGACTTTTGAGTAAGAATAATACACATCGGGTGCCAATGTGTCTACCATGTAGAATATCTGGGGTCAACTTTAAGCTGAGTCAGGAAAGTAACAGTTAAACATAACATTTCTGTTAACCTGAGATATGGACGCACCATTTTAATTAGTTTAGGACACTGGATGCACCCAAAATTACTTTAGACCACTGGACGCACTTGGGTAAATAGTTCGGGGTGCTGGACGCACCTTAACCCAAAAAAATTTAATTACTAAAAAATTTCAATAACAAGTAATTAGTTTGAACTTGTTGTCATTTCTCAGTCTAGAATTTGTCATTGCATACTTTTGTTATTAATAAACTTTGGGGTAAGTGAATCCTTTTTTTGAGATTTGACTGTAATTCTCTCAAAAACTAATTATAATCAAATAAAAAAATTTGAGAGCATCTTAATAAATTCCTAAAACTCATTTATAAATAATTCCTTATTTCGGATATATTCGAAATGCTTTTCTAAAATTAATTATACACCAAATAATTAGCTTTAATCTAAGTATCTTTTTTCTTTATACTCTGCATATTAATCTAAGTATGTTTACCAACGTCATTAATTAAGCAAAATAAAATAAATGATATATGTACGGATGTCAATGGATATAATATCAAATACAGACAAAATTGAATGCAATTCTTCTATGTAAGATTGGAATGCCGAGCGGGGGAAATGGACCACCGGGGAATCCGCCGATCAGACAAATAAAGGAGACGAAAAAGGTTGTGTTCTTTTTTCTCTTTTTGCCGAAGCTCTCGTCGGTAGCGTTGTTGATCATGGAGAGCTGTCCACAGATGAACAGACAAGCAAAATATATCCAACTTTTCAACTAATCCCCGTGCTTTAGGAAACCAAGCTTCACTTTGTTGTGGAGAGATTCAGAGCGATGTTGGGATTAAAATAAAAAGTACTTTAACAAACTCAACACTAAGGAAGTTTGATCTTCCAGTAGTGTGCACTCTCAGAACTGTAATTGAGGTAAAAAAAAAAAGGAATCCTGACCTTCCGTCTTGTGCTGTTGTTATATTTGCCTAAATCGTCTATTGTTTTGTTGCCCCATCTTTGACATACACTTTTGTAGCGCCTCTCTCTCTCTGCTCTTATCCTGTTCGATGGAAAACCACACAGAATCCATCACGTCCTCTGGAAAGTCACTGGGTGAGTATTACTACGTAAACTCTGTTTCGCTTTCAGTTTTCTTGATCAATCTGAGAATTGAGATGTCAAACTTGACTGGTGTATCATCATTGATCAGATCGTGTTCTTCTTTTTGCATGTGTTTTTTGGTTGAACTTTGTCTGTGGATACACCAGAGGTTGGAAATGAAAGTGATTTTAAAGCTCACGTGTTTTCCTCATCATCAGAGGTGAGATTTTCAATTCCCACTTATCGTGTCATATCGAATTTATTAATGAGTTCTGAATATCGTGTGAAGTTCTTATTTGGTTTGGTTTTCATATGATGAAGATTTGTGTTACAGTTGAAGTTGATGCTGACCTTCCTTAGAAGTTGATGCATTATTAGATCTATGTGCCTTGCTTATAAAAACTTTACAGAAGTCTCCAATAACGAAACTTATTCTTTTATTGGAGGCAATTCTTTCGAGGGTTTCAAATATATATATGTATATTTATTTAAAAATCTAAAGTCCAAATTGTTTGGCAAAAAAAAAAAAAAAAAGACAGGCCATATTTTGGCAACATAATTTGACGTAATTCACATGACGATTAACTAACAACGCACTTGGTGTTTCTAGGTTAAGTAAACTCTCAAATACGACTTGGTATTTGAAGAAATTTCTTTCTGCTATTGGTTTCTGATATACTTCTTTTTACAGCATACTTGCGGGAAAACAGAAAAAGAATTATGTTTTACAAATCATTTACTTAAGCTTTTGCATTATTCATTCGACTCTGCAATTTCTGTTGGTGTTGCAATGTTCAGTTACTTGAAAAGCTTCACAAAAGGTGGAGTGTAGTGGAGAAACAACCATACCCTGCAATGTATTCCAGTGTTTATGGAGGTATCATACTTGATCCTGCAATGATGGTAATTCCCATTGATGATCACATGGTACATCGTGGGCATGGTGTATTTGATACAGCAATTATTTATGATGGGTAAGCTGAAACATTCATAAGAAATAATTGTTCTTCAGGTTTTTTTAACTAAAAAGGTCCCTCTCCCTGACTTGGGGTGCATTTGGTGTTTATCATCACCAGGTACCTCTATGAATTGGATGTTCACCTTGATCGCTTTCTCAGGTCAGCCTCAGAGGCAAAGATATCGTCTCCTCATTCTCGCTTGGCTCTTCGAAGCATTCTCATTCAACTAACTGCTGCATCAAAGTGCAAGAAAGGAACCCTCAGATACTGGCTAAGTGCAGGTCCTGGGGATTTCTTGCTATCGTCCGCAGGATGTCCAACACCAGCATTCTATGCAGTAGTCATCGATGAAGATTTTTCTCAGTGCAAAGATGGGGTTAAAGTGATCACATCCAATATCCCCATGAAGCCACCTCTATTTGCAACAATGAAGAATGTGAATTATCTCCCCAATGTCCTTGCAAAGCTAGAAGCTGAAGAGAAAGGAGCATTTGCTTCTATTTGGGTTGATGAGGAAGGTTATGTTGCTGAAGGTCCAAATGTGAATGTTGCTTTTATAACCCAAGAGAAGGAACTTGTCATGCCTTCATTTGATAAGATCCTACATGGGTGCACTGCTAGAAGGCTTCTTGAACTTGCACCGAAGCTTGTAGAAGAAGAGCATCTGAAAGGTGTAACAACTAAAAATCTAACCATGGAGGAAGCTAAAGGCTCTGCTGAAATGATGTTTGTAGGAAGCACTCTTCCTTTACTGCCTATCATCGCCTGGGATGATCAACCTATTGGCAATGGTATGTTTGATAACAGTAACTTTTTCGTGCTAATATGTTCTTTTAGTAGTATAGAGCCTTTAATTATGGAAGTTCTCATTCCATGATAACTGTAGGTGAGCTGCTTGTCTGCATGTTATTGTACTACAATAATTCACTATCTAATTTTGACAGGAAGTGTTGGAAAATTAACAATGCTCCTTTCGGATTTGCTATGGAACGATATGCTTGCTGGCCCTGACACACAGAGAGTAGCTGTTCCTTATGTCTAATGAACCACAAAATCACCAAATAAAAGGCCTGAAACTACTTTGGGTTTTATGTTTATCCGTCTTGTTCCTTGTTCCTCTTGGTGCACAGGTTGAGCAAGGGATATCTCTGCCTTAGCTTGATTTATTTCACATGTGAACGGGTATTGTACTGAAGCTGTTAGCTTAATGCTAAACAGAATATATATTGAATAACACATCTGTATCTGTCATTGGGTTGTTTTGCTTTCTTTTAATGGAGACACTGCAGATTGCGGGCCCCCCCAAAATTTCTTGCTTTCGAACAGGTATCCTTGTCTGTCAGTTGTGTTTTCAAAGGTAACATAAAATGTAAAATGAAAGCTGTTGAGTAGTTCTATATAATCTTTGCTAAATCACTCCTTCGCAATACACACCATGCCTTATGTTGAAACTTAACTAAAAGAATAGGGGTGACGAGAGAACCAAATCAGGGCTGCACAAATGCCTGTTGGGTTTGTTCGGGCAGGGTGCCTATCCACATGCCCAAGGTTGAAAATACTGGAAAATCTTCAGAACAAGACAAAAAACGTAACAGAAAATAATAGAAAGAAGCAGGAAGCTACGCAGAAAAATAAACCTGAGTGCTAGGCCTTTTAGATACTAGAAATCTTCCAAAACAAGTGTAATTTTCTTTGACCCTTCATTCTCATTCCTCCCTACTTTCAAACCTCCTGTAACTGAATGGCCCAAACCCACTCATCGCCAGAGCAACATTCCAAAACTGTTACGTAAAAAGTTACCCACAGTATTCATTTCCTCTTGCTTCCTTCTTGGACCCTCCAGAATAAGCCTAGCATAGAGATGCTCATCACCGCATAATAAATCATCTGTTTATATCGGGGGATGCTCTTCTCTAGATTCAAAAGCATAATCTACAGATTTGTTCATAAAGATTTCTTCCTTTTCTTACCTCCAAAAAGCTAGAAGTAGATTTACCTGTTCTCTAGCTGGAATCTATTTCTTTTTTAGTGTCTCTCCCCTGAGGCCAAGGGGCCGCTGAAAGCGCAGTGTTTATGGGCCCCTCAATAATGGGCCAAAGCTGAAGTCACATAAACTGTTTTTTGGGATCCTGGAGTTTAGGGAGGGTCTAGGGTTGGTGTGTCTTTTCTGCTATTTTCCTTGTAATTCACTGGCTAGACTTAGCATACTGCCTCAGTATAGCTAATTTGAATAGCGTTTGGGGCTGGGTTCCGTCAAATGTGATTGAGGTTTAATGATTCCCAAGCTCAGTAACAACAATCAGAACCCAAATCTCAATTCTGTTCCTCAATTCAAAGAAAAGATATAACAAGCCTATGACAGAGGGGAATGTTTTTATCTTTCCAAAAAACAAAAACAAAAAAAAACTGCCAAGCATCAGTTTTTTCTTTTTACCTTTTCTATCAAATGAAATGGTGTCAGTCAGGAATTATAAAAGTGGCTTCTGCTATAAAATTTTGTGAAAGTAAAGATACTATAGAGCTTATTGTGTGCACTTCGAATATTAGAATTTTTATGTAAGTTTCTTTTGGGGCCAAAAAAGTCAGTAGAATTTTTATGTGAATTTGATTTATTCATTTTTATAGAAGTCAAGTGGATGAAATAGTTTGAGCAGAGAAAATTTATGCAAGCGCTTCGAGCAGTAAAAGCCAGGAGCTGGTCTGCCTTGGTCTAGAGTCTAAGCTGAACTAGATTTAAAAATAAAAAAGGGAAACATCTTTGGTTCAATAAGTTATTCAAAATTAATTATTCAAGTGCCCTGTGATCAGCTTGAAAAATATCTCTAGTTCTCAGAGAGAGACACTATATGCACAACGAATAAGCTAGATGCTTGCATTGAACGCATTCTGTAATGAACATTAAACTTTCGTCCTTGGCTTTGAAGCTCTGTTGCCTATCTGTCATTTTCCTCCTTCCTTGTTGGGTGTTGCTCTTAATTTGGCTTACTTAGGAAAGATTTTAGAAACTCCCAACTCACAATTTACATAAAAGCAAACAGACAAAGTGAATCACGGGTAGATATGCAAACATGTCAGTTCCACTGGGTCTATGAAATCTGCTATCTTTTTTTTGTCAGTTTTCTTCAAGTTATTTTGTTTGCATCCAAAACTCGCAAGTTTTTGCGTCTTGAAATGACATTCAGCAACGTTCAGATCTAAAAAGTACAACAATCTGAATCACAATCAGTTCCAAGAGAGTCATGATGAACAGCGAATAGTTTTAAACTTGATTAGTGCTTGAATTGCTAGCTTGCTCTGTTCTTGTGTAGATACTCTGGTTGAGCATGCTGGGTATCCACAAGAGGTAGAACGAGATAGTAAATTTCAGAGTTCAAAGTTATATCCCTAAACTCTATTATCTTTAAGAAGACCTGGAGTTGTAATCTAACTGAGCTTATGATGAAGATTTTTCTCCCCCTTTCTGCGAGACATCAATGCAAGCAATTTGTCAGCATAAATTAGATTTGAAAGAAACAGAAAGAGGAGAAAAAATTGTACTTAATTTTGCATTGTCAAACTATAAGAGTGAATGCTAAGATAATCTATCTCAGATACATAATCCATGTAATGAAACTTTCAGCTCTTCTGCGCATGTTTAGACACTGAGCTCATTGCGGTGTCCTAATATATAATTGATTTCATTATGATGTGGGATTTTTCATATCGTTTCTGTGCTACATAAATGCAAGCAGTTGATAGCATTAGCAAGATTAGAAAGAAGTAAAGGCTAGGACAATTATTGTCTTATTGTCAAATAAGAAGAAAGAACACAGAACATATAAAACAGATCATTTGCCATCAATTACGAAAACGAGTACAATGAACATCTAAATACAAGAGAACACATTTGTTTACAATTATAAGAGTGGGAAAGCAAAAAATTCCCAAAGAAAATACATCTAAGAACAATGGATAAATTTTCTTCTTCTATGTTTTCTATGCCTTCAATTGATCTCATCATAATAGGAAAAAGCTAGATTTACTGGTTGCAGAACAACTCCCAGCTCTCCTCTGCATCATGAAGCACGGAAATGAATTTTCCCAAGGCCATCCATTCCAAAAGCTTAGATCTTCCCAGAACCCAGCATCACTTTCTTCCCAATTATCCATGGCTTCCATGTCTTCCTCCGAATGAAGCTGAAGAAACATGAAGAACAAAAAGAAGCTTCACCCTCAGCTTTCTTTGTTCTTCATTTTTGAAACTTGAGAGCAAAAGACAGAGAAGGAGCTGTGGGGATATTTAAGGTTAGCCGAGTATGCTTTTCAACCATCTTTCCAGACAGGAATCTGATGCAAGCCTACATTTTAAATCTTTGTTGAGTGAGGCCATTTCTGTCGTTTGGTCATCATGCGGATATGCGACATGTCGTTTCTGTGGGATAAAAGAAAGCACGTGACTGTGAACAAGATTAAATAATTGCATTTTGCCAGCTATTTTTGGCGTGACATTATTTCCTTTCCATTCGGGATATGCCAAGTGCTTTTGTGGGCCGATTGTTGATTCTAGGATTACTTAATGTGGTTGAGCTTTTCCAAAACACGTGATCCACGAGTATACCCTTTTCTAATTGAATTGAAATAGGCAAATAAATCCGGATTGAATTTAACTGAGGGGTTAGTTACTTGCAAGTTGCAATGCCTGAAATAAAATCATTTTGAACAGGAGGATACACAGGCCTAATTAAAAAAAGAAATGAGCATATAAATGAAAATTAAGACATTAATTTTTCCAAAAAACTAAACTATTATTTTTTTGTTATTGAAAATTATAATGCTTAACACTTCTTAAAAACCTATAGCTTTATTAACAAAAAATTATGGGTCTTTAGTTTTCATTTTGTTTTACATAATTTCTACAATTGCAGAATTATACTTACTAATAGATTTAAAATCTTATAACTTCAAGTGCGTCCATTCATATAAGCTTTTAGAACAATGACAGTTTTCTAATAGTGACATCTTTCTTTCAAACTATTCCAGACAACTATAATTTCCATGTATCTTCCATCGTCTTATTCATTGTTAACCTCCATTATGAGTATGTGAAAATTTCCACACGTCTTCCATTGTCTTATTCATTGACTTTCTTTATGAGTATATGGAAACTTCTACGCATCTTCTATCATAGATACAAGATCAAATACAAAGATTCAATCTTATTTTTTATAAATACCTCTTTCCTTTTTTTATTTTCATCCTAAGCACATAAAAACCATAAAAAAAAAAAACTCTTGCAAAATGAACCCTAAAGAAGAAAAGAAGGGAAGAACTTTATGTTGTCTTGTCTGGTTTCTACAGTAAGCAGCGACATGATTGATCCATTTATTAAGCTATCAAGCAGGCATGATTAAAAGCTTTAATTAATTTATTATTTTTTCTATTAAGCTCTGCATTATTATTATATCAATACTAAATAAATAGTTCAGCATCGTCTTATAAAAATATTTATTTCATATGACATATTTATTAAAAAAGTTTGGTGTGAAAAATTATATATAATTATAACTTAGGAGCTCATAAAAGAAAACTCTTTAAATTTTAAACAAATTGGCCCTAATTTGTGTATGTGAAGGCCATGCCAGTAAAATAGTAATACGATGAGGAGCAAACCTAGGATAAAAACAGGTGCCGTAGAACGTGTGTGTTGCAAATAGGGGTGGAATTAGGTCAGGCGGCCTATCAGGGGCTTATGGCCTAACTTGGCTTGACCTATTTAGATATCAGAACAGGCTCAGGCCTGTAAAAAGACCTGTTTACTTTATCAGGCCAGGCTCAGGCCTGATAGGAAGCCTATTAGGCCTGTCAAGCGGTTTGGACATGTTATCTTTTTTTTATTTAGGTTAAAATTGTAAATAGATAGGAGGAAATCTGTTATTCTGATTGGTTAAGAAAACTCTACCCACATAAACGTGTTATCCAGAGCTTATTGTATGTTTCATTTCATTTCCATTCTCTATAATAAAAATAATTGATGTATGTATAATAACACATGTTTGAACAGAAAAAGAAAACATAAGTGCATTAAAAAAAATAAAAGTATCATTCATTTATTTGATCCATGCTTTTCATATTAATCTTATATAGAATATATATATAAAATTGACCTATTATGTTTTAAACCGTATATATGTGTGGTCAATCTAATTCTTATTATAATAGTTACTTAATTACTTTAAATAAATAAATGATAATAAATGTAACATTTTTTTTAAAACAACCATGTGTAATAACAGGATCAAATATCATTTTGTTAGTAAATTAGTTTGAACAAATGATAAATTTAAAATATAAAAGGGATTAAGGATGTTTCATATTTTAAACTAGATCTAGTCATCAACTAATTTTTATACTAGAGATGGGATAAAGGGATATTTTTACACCAGAGTGAAATTATGTTTTCTAATAATTTTTCATATTTGATTTTTTTTGGGCCTAAGGGGACATGTTTTACAAATTGTGTTAATTTGATAATTTCATATTTTTTGTTTGTATTTTAGATAAATTGGGTTGAATTATTGTAATTTTGAATTGATTTATATGTGTTTAAAATTTGTTAAAAAACAAGCTCTTAACAAGTCATAGGTCAGGCCAGGTTCAGACTGATTAAAAGACCTTTCACAGGCCGAGCCTGTTAAAGGTAAGGCTTGGCCTGTTTCCACCCCTAGGACTTGCAAAGCTGATTTTGAATCAAGGGCCGGCAACTTTCAAAATAGAGACTAGGTTAAGGAGCTCAATCTATGGGAGATCTAAGAAAGCACTACCGTTATTTCTCAGTTTTTTTCTTTTTATTTTAATATTATCTCATGCCCTAAACATGAGAGATAGGACAAGGAGATTATTTTTTGCCCTAAATATAAAATTTTAACTCATTTTAATTTTTTTCCTGAATTTATAATTTTTTTAAAATATTTTTATTGATTGTACATAGTAAGGAAATTTTCATTAAAAGACAATTACAATGTACACTATTAGAGAGCGTATTCTAAAAAAGCCAAATGCGCATATGTTAAAATAATTAACTTTAACTAATTTTTTAGTATTTGCAAATTAAGAAGCTTTGAAATCCTTACCTAGCCACACCCCTAGTTTTACTAAAGTCACTTATAGGGATGTTTGAATAGAAACCAAACTATAATTTTAAAAATAATTTTACTATATACAACATAAATATGGAAAGTTTGTCTTGATTTATAAAAAAATTACTTTTTTAAAAGCACTTTTCAAGTGTGCCAAAAACACCTCCATGTTAGAGGCAAAAAGAAAATGGGCAGAAACACACAACAAACAAAACAATGGCCAAGAGAAGTATTGATTAATGATCATTCCATTAGAAAAGCTTTCATATATGAAATGAAAACTCTTAAATGCTGGCCAAGATGGAAGCAGCATTTTGGGAAGATTGATTAGAAGCGACAGTGCCGGCAATGACAGAAGAAGGCACAGGCAAATCTGGGAATTCGTCAAAGGCTTTGAGGCAAGAAAGAATGTGGGGAATGGTCTCTGCAGTGAGCACATCTCTAGCATTCTTATAGTATCCCTCTCCGACGTAGCGTTTCAAGGGATCAAAGTCTTGCTGCGCCATAAACGAATCATCTGAACACTGCTTCAGTGCCTGCTCCAACTTCCCCGTCGCGTTCCTTGTTAGCTTCGTTGTCTCTTCTTGAAGCTGCCTTGTGTCCCTCTCTGCACAATCCAGCGCTATCACAGCCAGCCCTGTTAAAAAAAGAGAATTTTCCCGCGGTTTTTCCTAGCATTAGCACTTTGTCCCATAAATGATATTGTAAATATAAGAACTAATTGGAGATTAAATTTGATTTTAAATATAAGACGTTAATTTATTTTTACTCACAAACTTATGATAATATTTTTTTTTCAAAATATTCTATTAATTGTTCATGTTAAAAGGGTTTTCAGTGAGGATAGTTCTGGTAGTATAAACTAAGACACTGTAGCGGTTTCAGGAGCAGCTACCTTTTACTGTTTTTTTTTTTTTTTTTTGAGGGGGCGGGGGTGATAGACACAGAAGTATATACGTGTGTGTGTGTCTGTAAGAGTGAAGAACCTGGGCATTAGCTGAAGAGCCATTGGGATCACTGTGGAGGCAGTCTTGACAGATCTTTGGCTCATCTGTTTTGCCACACAAAGTGGCGATCAACCTATCGTCCGAGTTCGCGACGAGAATGAAGATGAGGAATACGAAGGCCCTAACGAGAATGATCAAGCAGTTGCTCAAGGAACCCATTTTTTATTGTCCCTCAAGAATTTTATAATTCCCTGATCATGAAATCTAATATATATAGCACTGTTCATAACTGTGTCTGTTTGTGTGTTTAAAGTGGTACTTTGCACCCACCCCACTCATTTGATTATTTTCAGTGTATGTGCAATAATGCATGCATATTCTCGTCATCATCAATTTCATTAAGACAAATATAGCCAAGAATAATGTAATGACATCTGACATGAATATTCACTCATAAATATGATATTTGTCCTCATATGCTGAACTATTTGTGCATGAATTAAGCAAAAATACCTATACACAAAGTTTAGGAAAAATTAGTTATTTTTTAATTATATTTTAGATTGATTATTTTTCTGAAATGTCCTTAGTAGTAATATGGTCATTTATTGCAATAATTCCAACACTAGCTTCTTTTCTTTTCTTTGTTTTTTTTTTTTAAATAACAAACAAGAACTCTTGATTTAGTTTCATCTATTTAAGCCCAAGTTGTGTTGTGAATTCAAAGCCCAATCATTTTCCGCTGATCACAGTTAACAGGGACAGCAGATTCATTGTACACTTCTCAAGTTAGTCATGTACAATTACTGTTATCATGGGAATAGTTTAATGAGAACGCATGAATATTATTATTCCCAAATCCCAACACCAAACGAAAACTTCTCGCACATATTTTACAGAGATGAAAAAACTACCTAACATTGGGGGATTTCATATCCAGTCTAATCTCATTATAAATATAAAAAACGTACACTACTTGTTATAATAGGAAGAAACCACTAGCTGCTCTTCTCAACCTGGGTACGCGTGTACCTTGAGGCTCTCTTTTTTTCCACTCATCCATCTCTTTGAACCGCGACTATCGCATAAGCTTATGCTGCCAAGGGGGAAAAATAGTAATAATAACAACCACAGTACAGGCTGCCATCCTCAGTGCATTAGAAGCTGAAAGTCATCATCATTGTTTACTACAGTATAATCATATCCAAGTCTGTCAGCACGGTCATGGAATTCTACCATCTCATTTTTTGGTACCTGTATTCCGACCAAGACATTTGCGCCAGTTTCACCCTGTTGGAGAGAGCAAATATAAGGATGAAAATAGCTGCATTAATTGATTGAAGACGTAAAACATCTCTTATGGTGATTTAGATTTAGACAGAACAATTGGAAACGTTTAACTCCTCACCTGCCCTCGATAATGGAATAAACTGATATTCCAGCGTGGACTGAAAGAATCTAAAAATTTCATCAGAGCACCCGGTCTCTCTGGAAAGACAAATCGACAAAGAACCTCATTCGGAACATTTGATCGACCTCCCATCTGACATAATCAAAACAAGGTCAACATGGCACCATAATGCACACAGACAACATCACATGTTTGATAGGTCATGCCACCACTATTCATTGGAGTGAAGTAGAAATATAGTGTTGCCAGTAAATTAAAATTATTGACTTGTAGCTAGACTGCTATTGGAGACATTATACTATCATACACTCGTCACAACCTTAATAAGACTAGTGTAAGAATAACAAGATTTCCTGTGGGCATGGAGCAGCTCCTAGTCATGCGGTCTAACAATTTTTTAATAGTGGTATTGTGTCAGAGAAGGCTGAACAGAAACAAGTAGCTTAGGTAGTAAGTTTACAGAATTTATAGATATAATCTCGAGAAAATGATAAAATAAGATATAACGTATTAAACATCGAAAGAAATTTGGGCAATAAAACTTACCAAATATCGCAAGTGATCTTTCACCAAGTCACTCTCCGTGAGATTAATAGTTTTAAGCTGAGAAGATTCCATCCTCTCCTGCAGTGCTCTTAGCTCTAAAACCGTATGAACCCCAACACTACACACAGATAATGTCCTTCAAATTAATATAAATGGTGTGTGTGTGTATCTAGACTTCTTAGTCACTAAGCTTACCTGTACAGGACAACGGCTTTTTTATCAGAATTATATCTGTACTTGAATTCTGTAATATTCATCTGCCCCACCTGCGGGAGCCAAAGTTTATCAGACTCAGAATTTTCAGTTGAGGCGGGAAAGACATACCGATTGACAAAACCACAAAAATTTTCAGTTAAAGCAGTATAGACATACCAATTGACAAAACTGCTTGAAACTGCCCGGTTCCTCCGGCAAAATAGTTGCTAGCACGGCCTCTTGCTTTCGACCAACATTAGCAAGTTCAGTCACCACCCTCAGCTTGTCAAAATTCATGTTTGCCCCACTGGTTATTGCTATAATATTTTCCCCCTTGAGACCATAATATTTACAGTATGCCTCTGCTCCAGCGAGGGCAAGAGCACCTGCTGGTTCTAATATGCTTCTTTTCTCCTCAAACATGTCCTGCAACAAAGTTCTACTGTCGTAAGATCTTAATAGTTCAAGTTAAGTGCTGCGATTGACACGGAATCCAAATGCATTATGCAAGCCAATGAGGGAAATTAGGCACCACAGAAACAATAAAAAAATTACATATGGACCAATAAGAACATGCTCTGTACTGAGAAAGAATCAATGCCTATGACAAAGCAGATAACCTTTGAAGCATACCAAAAAAAAAGGCTGAGAACACATAATTGAAGCATTATTCAAAAAAAAAAAAAATGCCCCCTTTGTTTAGTGATTAAATTTGACAACCGATAGACTAATACCTCTAGTATTACATAGAAACATGTTCTTGCTACCATTGCCACTACTCTTCCAATCTCTTTCCCGAACCTCAACTGGGATGGGGAGGGATTGAACAACAAAACCATCACTGACACAATGCACTCAAAGGATAAAATAGTCTTTTGATTACTCAAAAGCAACGAATAAGTTGGAAAATTTTACTCAGGCTATAGTATGCATGCAAGACACCTCACCAACTTCCCATTAGAACTTGACAATATCCGGCAACCCATAAGTTAAGCTCATTTATGAAGAAAGAAAAATCCAACTTCATAACCTTATGCATGAGCTGTCAAGATGATTTTCATCATATCATATCAACCACTTTGCATCAGAACTATAAGATCTACACAATTCTTTCCAAATAAACAAAAATATCTAATTAACTCAAGAATTTAGAACTAAGTTACAATTAAAATAAAATGGATTTCTCACATAAATTGTTCTTGGAAAAATTTATTAGAAAAAAGCAATATAAACCGAAAAACCATAAGGAACCCCACTCAAACTCATCACAGTAAAGAAGCATCGAATTGCGAGCTTTCACAAGCAACGAGAACCTCACCTTTATTGAGGCGCAAATTGAATCACGGCTTACAAGAACTACGCCATCTACCAAATCCTTGCACAAGCGAAAAGTTTCCTCACCAACCTCTTTAACGGCTACACCATCTGCAAATCCTCCTACCCGGTCCAAAATCACTCTCTGACCGTGATGTAGTGACAATGCCATTGCATTTGCATCAGTGGGTTCTACTCCAATAATCTTTACCTGTACAGCAGATGTCAGCAATTTTTCCTCTTGCTATAAATCATGCCATACAATGTAGAGACAACAATCATAATACCTGTGGAGACACCCGCTTCACATAAGCAGCAATGCCAGCTATCAGACCACCACCTCCCACAGGTACAAATATTGCATGCACTGGACCCTGCATTTGGCGAACAATTTCCATCCCAACTGTTCCCTGGCCCATAATGACATCTGGATGATCGAAAGGAGGTATGAATGTTCGACCCTCCTCTTTTGCACGCTTCTTAGCATATGCTTGTGCCTCATCATAAGAGTCCCCAACCAGAACAACCGCAGCACCCAGCTTCTCAACGGATCGCCACTGAAATTAAAGGAGGGTCGGGGAATCAAATCAAAACATGTAAGTTGGTCATTTAGACTTATTCTCACAACCGCAAAAGAAAAAAAAAATATAAAATCCACCTTGATTTCTGGAGTGGTTACAGGCATAGCGATCACAGCACTGCAATTCAATCTCTTGGCAGCTAATGCCACTCCTTGGGCATGGTTTCCAGCTGATGAGCATATCACACCTTTTTCCAGCTGTTCCTTTGGAAGTTTGGCCATCATATTGTAAGCTCCTCGGAGCTTAAATGAGAAAACCTAGGGATGGGAATAATTTTAACACAAGATTAACGCTTCCCGCTTTAATGCAGAAAGATAATAACTTACTGAATTTTATGATAGTATTATCTCCAAGTGTAATGGAACTTAAGAACCGGTAACAAATTCTTCATGATCAAGTCATAATTATTTCACACCAAATCAATATCCGAGCCAGAGAGTATATTGCGCACATAGCATAGAGATGCAACTTGCAAAAATAAAAAGTAAACAACACTAAAATCCATCCAACATCAACCAGATTGCCACATACCGGCTGTAAATCCTCCCTTTTGAGCCAAATATTGACCCCCCATCTTTCCGACAGCTTTGGCGCCAGCTGAAGCGGAGATTCAATAGCCACATCATAGACCTTAGAAGCAAGTATATTCGTCAAGTAATCCATGGCATTGATTATGCTATCATTGCCATCACAATCGGTGCGGTCTGGGACTGCTCCAAGGTAACCAGGTGGGTACTGCAGAGACTCAGGTAATACCCTGGTACGAGGTGAGGAAGTCACGGCCAACGGATCTTCTCGAGAGGTAGCTGTCGAAGACGAAGAATGCGTGGAGGTGACCTCCACTGCCGATTTGGACAAGGTGGTGGTTATGAAGGGCTTGCCAGACCATCCTCTGGCAAGCTTATTGCTTCTGGAGTTGCCAAGAAGGAATCTTCCAGGCAAATTCTGTGAACGGTCGTGACGAGGAAGAGGCGACTGGGTGGAGGGGAATGAGAATGCCTCCATGGGGGGGTGAAAAGAGGGAGAAATAGGAAGAAAATGAAAATTACAGACTAGAAGGCAGCGATTTGGCTGCAAAACGGGTGTCACCACGGCAAGTGAAACAAAAATATATGATGAATTAATCAGCTTCACAGAATCAGCAACATTGAAAAGGAACTTGCAAATCTAGTTGTCCAAGCTCCACCAAGCCCTGGCCAGAGTCAACTTGGCTCCTTCGGTTCAGCGGTCGGTGACGCGCCCCGCTGCGGTAAAGAAGTCCGCAAAGCCGCCGATAGAGTCCTCGCCGTCGCTGCCAATGGGGAACAGCCCGGGGATGGAGACAGCGCGAGTGAGGGGATTCGAATGGAGGGATCAAATTTTTACCTGAATTTTAATTTTGTACTTTTGTTTTACCAAAATTCACCTTATTTTAATCCAAGTTCTTATGGTTTTGTTTCTTTCTACGGGGTTCATGAAATTTTACTTAACTTTTAATCAGTTTCCTGATTTTTCTTAATCAACCACCTGAAATTCCTGAGATTAAATTATTATCGAATACTTAATATAAAAACTAATTAATCAATTTAAATAAATTAAAAAATATAAATAAATAAATATAAAAATAAAATATATTTAAATATTATATTTAGAATCAAATTAAACGTAAATTTCATTCTTATATTAAAAAACAGAAATAATATAATATTGCTTATTAATAAGTTTTTTAAATAATATTAAAAATCTTACTCAACAAACATTAAAAGCAATGCAGGGCTTAGGCTCACTTTTGAAGATCTATTCCTTTGAAACCTTGGTCAAGGATACTAAGGGAGTGTTTGGATAAAAACAAAACCATGGTTTCAGAAGTGCTTTTACGGATTACGAAGTAAATATGTGGAGGAGGTTACCTCGTTTTGCAGAAAAGTGCTTCTGAAACCACGGTTTCAGAGCATCCAAACAGGCCCTAAAGGTAACTTCAGTTTACGGGAAGCTTTTACCAAATGTTGGATTTTGGGACGGATCCCCCTTGATGAGCTGAACCATATGATTGGGAAATTTGAGAATATCCCAATCAAATAACATAATCAAATAAGATTATACTACTTTTGATTTTTAATATAAAATTTAGTTTGATATTCAGTTTAGTCCTAAATATAAAATTTCAATTTACTCTGACTCTCATGTTCATCCATTATTCTCGTAGTAATCTTTGTAATAGCTATATATGTTAAAAGTTTTATTACATAATAATTCTAACTAATAGACATGATTAATAAGGGTGTTTTAAGAAAGACGTCATCTATTTATTATAAATAATTGATTTAAGTAATTTTTTAATCTACTCAAATTAATCAACTAGCTCTTATATTAAGGATTAGATATATTATTTTAGTTGACTGAGTTAATTAATTGGAATAATCACCTAATTTAATTTATATTATTCAGATAATTTATGTATAACAATAAATAGATATATGATTATATATCTATGGATTAAATCAAGAATTCAATCCAAAATAAATCAAAATTGAGAATATATGCTAAAAATTTAAATCAGTACTGGTTGAGCAAAAGGATATTAACCGCATTAAAGGTTTTTTTTTTCTTTTTTACAAAAAGAATCTTATTAACTGCAGCAGAGAGGGACCATGAAGCAGTACCTGGGGCTGCAACAGGTTAACGCTAAATCATGATTAACGAAGACGACCAAGAGCCTGTTGAAATCAAGTTTATAAATATTTATAAATACGTTTTACACAAATTGAGATAAAACTTATTTAACTTAATTATCTCATATTTTGTAAATTATTATTAAAAAAAACTATTTATAAGTCATTCTAAACGAGTTCTAAAAAATCATGAAAAATAAACAAATAGAGTTGGGGTCTCAGCAAGGAGTAAAAACAAAATTAAAAACAGGCGACAAGGAATAGAAGCATATCGCCCGCATGGTGTCTACCAAAAGCACAATGATGGCCGAGACCACTAATAGCCCATTTGGTTCAATTATATGAAAAGAGATTACATGTAATACTGACGTAAAGACTCAATTCAAATGTTTGGTTGAGTCTATATAATGTAAAAATGATTACATTTTGTAGTGCTGATTACTTTATATAATGTAAAGAAAATTATACTCCTATGACATAAATAAGGATGCAGATCTCTTGTAACAGAGTGAAAAAAAAACATTATTGCCATTATATATTTTTTTAACTTGACTAAAATACCCTTAATAAAATATGCATAAACCCTATTGATTGCCTGTCCATCATCTTTGCTAGTCCTACCATCTCCATGGTTGCTGCTATCGCCTTTGCCCCTTCCATGTCCTAGGTAAACGAAGGTCGCCCAAGGTTAGGAAAGTAAAAGGCAAGAGAGAGATGGGGGTGGCCACCTGCTTATAGCCATCTCAAAAAGGTGCGGTGGTGCCTTTGTTTGTCATCAATCGAACCTAAGTGGATCCATTTGAAATCAATCAATTTGCAGATTGAACAAAAATACCAAACGCCGAAAACACAGGCTAATGAACTCGGTATTGATAGATGACTACAAGGAAAAGAGCATCCCAACACGCTTAATCACTACCACCACCTCCTTTTTGGAGAATGGGACAAGAATTATACTGGTATTTCTATGCTCTCTTACTGATTGTTATATATATAGACATGATTATTTAATAAAATTTTTATCGTATATATCACAAGAGTTAATTTTGTTTATTAATTTATTATTATATGTGTAGACAAGGTTGTTATATATTCAGTGAAAAAATAAATTCCGTTATACATATATAGACAGGGATAATTTTGTATTTTGATATATTATTGTTAGTTATTCCCATGTATTTTGTAATCCAATGAAACATTTTTATGTTTATGTATCATCTTTCTTCAATGGCATACTAAACAAACTCATGTAAACATTATTACGTTACATTCTATTACATTTCATTTCGTTACATTACATTTCTTAGAATTCAATGAACCAAACGGCAACTAAGACTAAGAGGGGGTGTTTGGATATCTTTAGAAATATTTTTTATAAACATTTTTTTGTAAATTGAGATAAATTTTTTCACATATTTATTTTATGTATTGTAAAATTATTTTTAAAATCATAGTTTGATTTCTATTAAACACTCCCAAGATTAGACTTCAGCGTGGCAGCAAGTGAGTACGAAGGCGCTAAGTATGGCAGTGCATTGTATTTTCAATAATTTCACGAGCCAACCAGGGCTATGAGGGTTTTCGTTTGAAAGGAAAGAGAGAAGAGGAAGAGGATGTGAAACGAGATGTCTAATATATTGATTAAATTAAAAAAAAAAAAAGATAAGTTAGTTAATTATAAGAAATATAATTTTTTTTAAAAAAATATAATCATCTTCTTGGTATCATCTCTCTCTCTCCGACTTGATTATGATTGAAGGAGCACTAATAAAGTTAATTTAGAAAAAATTGATAAATATAAAAAATAAGTCTTCTATTTAGGACCAAAATCAATTAATAATTAGATTCTATATTAAGTACTGAAGGAATATAAAAGATTAAGGACTATCTTATACCCAAAAAAAAAGGATCAAGGTCTAAGAGTTTTCTAATTTTTTTTGGACATAAATTTTAGAAAAAGGGTTGGGTGTACTCACGATCCAAGGACAGAACACCTAACATTTGATCCACTTGGGCTTGTCCCTATGGGCATGAGAGTATGACAAGCAAGCTTTTTTCTTTTTTTGATCCAATAGGTAGGAATCTTCTCTCCCAAGATGACGACTGGAGCCATAATAAAGTGGCACTCCTCAAGATCAAACCCTTTCTCTTTGGTGAGAAAATATGACCTTTTCACCAGCTGAATCCACAAACAAAGGGTTGAGTTTTGTAAACTTTTAAGAAAAATATGCATACATATGGGCCGAGACGAGGTAGCCCTTTTTCAGCCCACCGATTTGCCCCACTCTTTAACGGGTGGGCTCGTACTCGCCCATTTCAACTGGATACAGTGGGGTCCACCAAGTCAGGTGATGCCCCACACAAGGATAAGGATGAAGATTGCGTGTTTGAATCTGACCAATGCACATGTGTGGAACGGGGAATAAACGTGGACTTGGTCTCGAATCTTCTTCCTCGCGCGCTCTTCATTCTTCATTCTCCCCTCATTCAACTCACTGCTTAATTAATTTGACTCCACGATCGGCATTCCAATCATTCAACTCCGCCACCACCCACCTCATTATTCTACTCTTCTGTTTCAACTTGACCTTTATAATTATATATAATTAGTTTCTATGATTTGAACGGGATTATGATTTATGGCGTTGGGGTTACAACAAAGCAAGGGTGTGATTAAGAGATGCTTTGTGAACACAAGTGACTGATATTTTAACTTTGAAAATACGTAATCCTAGACCCACATATGATGTAATGCAATTGTGTATGATTATGAATTTTTTAAAAAAATTAATAAATAAATAATACTATTTCAGTCATAATTATAAGACCTCATTTCTATAGAAATGAGGTCTTATAATTAGAATTGAAAGTAGTAATAAATTTCAAGGACCAGATCAATAACTGTCGCAAATTTAAGATGTTATGTTATCCTTTTTTTTAAAAGAAGGATCAAATAATATTAATAAAAATACAACAATAACATTATCAGGACAATATATTTTTAACTTTTTTTTTTTGCCAACGGTACTATATATCTTTAACTGAATTAAGCAAGGTGAGAGTTGACGCACTAGGAATAAAAAATTAATTTGTTATTACTATTTTGCTTTTTATTATTATTTTTTAAAAAAAGAAGAGTTGAATGGAAATAGTCCGCACGAAACGCAACCTTTCCTAGTTTGACAGTGGCTTCAGAGTTATTTCGTCCACGTCACCACGACCCTTCCCGCGTCGTTTCCTTCCCGAAATTTCCTAATCCTTCTCGGACTCTTTCCTTCTTCCCCTTTATATACCTCTTCTCCCTTCTTTCCTTCTGCAGTAAGTAATTCGATTCCCTCCTTCTTTCCGAAGCTTCTCTGTCTTCCAGAACTTTCCTTCCCGCACAAGCAACTCTCGTCAATAACCGTTTCAATCGCTCCATTCCCCAATCCTTCCTGCTCTCTCTGATTGCATCTCTCTCCGTGATCACCAGTATTCAAGATGTTGATGTCCATCTTCAGTTCTTTTGATGCTCTCTGCGCCGAGTTTTCCTTCGGTCAGAGGTCTCGCTTGTCTATTGATGGCGGAAATCTCAGGCCCAAGCCGGAGCAGAAGCCTTCTTCCACAGTTGATTCCGCGGAGAAGGAACGGGCGTCTCCGGATTCGTCCAAGGCGGCGCCTTCAACGCAGCCCGGAGGAACCAAGCAACAAGGGCGGCGATTCTCGCCGAGGTTTGCGCCGGAGTTAGATGGGGTCCACTGCTTTGAGTCAATTATCCCTTACTGAATTAGAATTTCTACGTGATTCGTGATGTTATACAATACGATTCAATTAATTCGTATGAAATTCGTGCCTCTTTCTAACATCCCCCTGATCCTAATCATTCTATATTCTTCTTTTAAATAAGCTTCAATTCTTCTGAATTTTGGAACATTACCGTTAATTACTTTTTACATAATAAGTTTGAGATTAAAATTTATTCTATAACATCTTTAATTAGTATGTGAAGATGCGAGATCATCAAAAATTTCTAAATAAAAAAAAACGAGTGTTTTAGACGAAACTCAAATTATAATTTTAAAATATTTTTATGGTATATACAAAATAAATATATAAAAGAGTCTATCTTGTTTTGCCTCTTGTCAAACACTTTTTAGAATAAAAGCGTTAGATTTTTTTTTTAAATTTTTAACGTGAAAGGATAACGAATCGATTCAAAGAGTGACTAACGGTTTGGATCGGAAAAGAGTGTTCATGGTGAGAGCAACCTCACCGGAAAAATTAAGAGTTAAGAAATTGCGTCTTTTAAAGTTTTAACTAGAACTGGTAAGTCAGCCGATTGGTTATGGGCTGATCTGAGGACCAACGTGTTGGCCTTTTTAGCATCGACCTTTGGCAGGTTGGAATGTTTCCAACTCAGCCCATTAGGGTGTGAAGCCATCAACCTGCCAATTTTTACAATTTTTTTTACTTTTTATTTTTTTAATAAAATCTACTCAAATTTTTAAATACCTAAAATGAAACATGCAAATAGAAATTATCATAAATAAAATATGAAATCCGAAGTTTCAAATATCTCAAAATATTAAATATACATGATGCATCCTAAATGATTTAACAAACATTCCAAATTAAAACATAAATCCAAATCAATAATAACACAAAATCATAAGCACAATGTGTCACTATATAAATTACTATCAAATGCTCAATCATAAGCTACCACTCAATATTGATAGAGTTGGAAGCATGATCTAAAAATATGAAATTATTTGGTTGAGTTTGAAAAGTAAAACCACCATTTTTTTGGCTCAGTTGATTTTGCCACAAATAAAATTCGTAGTACAAAATGAAAAAGATGAGAGCTGAGAAGGCAGAGACTCAGAGAGGCTGAGAGCTTGGGCGAAACGCAAATGACTAAAGAATAAGGGGGAGGAAATTACTGCCTTTCAAAGCAGAAAATTTAAATAAAAAAAAAATGAGAGGGGGGAGAGACGGTGCTTTTCAAAGAGGAAAAAAAATTAAAAAAAAAAAAAGAAGACAAACGGGCTGGCCCGTCAACCCTAAGGGTTAGCCTATTGCTGGTTCGGTCTTGGCAGTTACGGATTCAGAAGATCTATTTTAAAATTAATGGTCTCAATTTTTATCAACCCAAACTGCCACTTTTTCGCCAGTGGGTTCAATCCATATTACTGGCTTTAGTTTTAACTTGGAAAAATGACCCCAAAATACTTTTTGAAATTTAAAAAAACAAATAAGTCATGTAAATAAGTGAAAAGACTAAATGGATATGAGGTAGGAATCTAGGATTTGTAAAGTTGGGCGAAAAGATTAAACTGACACTGAAATAAAATGAAAAGCATCAACAGATTTTGCAAAGTGATTAATAACTTTCAAATTGAATTTGATCATTTTCATAATGCGTTTTGAAATATGTTATTAACCATTTACAGACTAGGTGAAACTCAGGGAATTGAGTTGAACAAAATTACTAAACATGTAATGTGATTGACCACTTGCAAAATAAAAGTACCAATTTCTATAATATATTTTGCAACCTATTATTAGCCATTTTTAAACAATTTTACTAAATACTCCTCTCATCCTTATAAGTCACTTTCAACATGTTTTACACAGATAAAAAAAATTTAAATTTCATTAGCTCTCATTTAAAATTTAGCAACTTGCCACTTTTATCCCTCTTTAATATATATTATACCTCATGTAAACACAGTCAATACAATAATAAATAAATGGTAAAATTGTATATCCATACAAAAAATTTATCTCAATACCCTATAAATAAAACCAAAAAAATCTTTTCTCTCTGCCCTATAAATAAGACTAGAGGAGATGTAGCATGATTAAGAACTTGTGTAATGAATTTGACCATTTCCATGAGATATTTTGCAACCTGTTATTAGCCATTCCAGGTAATTTTACTGAACATGTAACCTGATGGACAATTTGAAAATGAATTTGACTATTTCCATAACGCGCTCTGCAACCTATTATTAGTGATTCCTAGACAATTTTACTGAACTTGTAATATGATTGACAACTTGCAAAATGAAATTGATTATTTTCGTAATGCATTTTGCAACTTATTATTAGCCATTTTCAGACAATTTTACTAAATATGTAACGTGATTGATAACTTGCGAAATGCATATGACCATTTTCATAACATATTTTGTAATATATTATTATTCATTTTCAAACTTGGTGCAATTGAGGGGATTGAGTTAGACAAATTGACTAGATATGTAACATGATTGACAACCTAAAAAATGCGTTTGATCATTTCCAAACAATTGACTTGGTCAATTTTCACCAAGTATAACTTCTTGGGAGAATTAAACAAGGGAGTAAATGTTGTGAGAAATTAATAGATAGTAGAAAAATAGATCTAAAATATGTCATAATAAACATGTTAACAATAAATTTTATGATTTATTACACTTAAAACGAAATTAACCATTAAAGTAATGATATTTATCAAAAATCAGCAGCCTTATGATAGTAATTGTATTAAATATATTCAAATGACAACATTAAAATTAAACCAATACTTAATGTTTTCTTGTCAATAAAGTCTCAAAACATATCTCATTCACTATACATCATCTACAAAAGGAATAGCTTATTTACCACTAAACCCATAATTACCTAATGGTTTTAGATTATATGAGTAGTTAAAAGGAGCAAGAAAACAATGAGAATCACTTCCATCGATATACGTGTAATTAGAAATAGAAGATTTTGATATAAAAAAATAGAAAACTTTGGATGGCCAAAACAAAAACTTTGATTGGAAAGATATGCTTAGTTTTGTGATTCCGATGAAAAAAACTACTTCATATTATTCAAAGACTTTGCAAACAACAAGCCTTGAAAATGGAATGCCCATAACAACTACTTTGCTGCTACTATGGCTGAGGAAGAAGGTTTAGTCATGTCTTCCATCTCTCTCTCCCTAAAGAAGATGACTCACAGTTGTTGGTCTAGTTCCCATGACTTCCTTCAAGTAAATCAGAAATAGAAGCAACAAAGTTTAGCTCTCTAATTTAGTTCAAGAGAAAAAATCTACAATGCTTGTCTCTCTTGAAGAAGAGGATCTGAAGGGAGAGAAAATAGCTCTCTTTCTCTAATTCTGCAACACGAACAGAGAAAGAAGACAAAAAGGGAATTAAAAAAAGAGCATAAAGGTAATTCGTTAAAATTTGTAAATTTCAATTGAATACCTTAAAGCTTATTTGTCATTTATAAAATTAAAATGACTAATTTGAAATTTTTGAATTCAAATGGGATTTATATTGAATTTTTCCTTTTAACTTTTAATGTAGTTTTGGACAATTTGTAGCATATGGTATTCATTTGTGTTTGTTCCATCCTTGCATATTATGGTGTTATGATTTTTTCATGAATTTATTTTTTATACTACCTCCCATCTTTAATAAAAGCTTATTTGATTTTTATTTTGATTCTAAATATAAGATTTTAATTCACTTTATATCTCATATTTATCCATTTTTTCTTAAGATAGTCCTTGTAATAATGATAATTGTAGTTAATATACTTGAATATTTTGAGAAAAATAACACATATTTATTACAAATAACTAATTTAACTAATTTTCTTAATCTACTCAAATTAGTTAACTAGCTCTCATATCAAGGATTAGAAGTAGTTTATGATATGGACTGTTTACCAAATTTGATAGGTCGGGAGAACTATAAAATATTACATGACATTTTGTTAACTAATTTATAAATATTAAGAAAGTTAGTTAAATTAGTACTATTATTTTAACTAAAATACCCATCATGTATATTAGAATGAAAGTTTTTTAACATGTTCAATTACGATTTGGATTATACTATAAAAAATAAAATAGTTTAAGACTAAATTTAGGATAAGAGATAATATTGATTTTTTCAGCTTAATGTTTAAAAATATTGGGGGAAAAAAGGAAAATTTGTAAAACATTGCCTGAACGGGCCACCGACCACATTACCCCAGTTGGATGGAAGACGCCAGACTTTAATATTTTCCCCGCTGGTGCCACAAGCTTTATCAACAAAACGAAAGATCTGACAAGAGTTTTTTATTTCGAACGCGAAAAGATAAGGAAGCGTGTTGGTCCGTTTTTTGTCACATGGCGAATTGATTCAACATTTTAGTTTATTTTTAGTTTTCCTGGATATTTATTTTAGAGTCTTAATTGAAATTCTGACCCTTTTATTTAAAAAAATTTCATTACTTAGGCCATTTCAGTCCCAGACAATGCACAGTTTTCCCGAGTTCAGGTTCAGCTCCTAGTATTGCACTAACCTCCTAGGTCAACTGCCTCTTCCCTCCTCAAAGTCTCTCTTCTTCCTCATCTCTGTATTTGTTGTGCGTGACAGTCGGAATCCAACTTTGTGATTCGATTTGCCTTAGACTATTAGGTTACTTTGTCAAATTCTAGGTACGGCGGCCGTATTTCTTCACAAACTAATGAAGTGTTAACTTACAACACAAAATAAAAGGGGGCAAATTAAAATATCATGGCACTTTCAGCCACAACGAAGACTATATGTGGACTCGTTCCTTATATCAGAACCTGGAAGTTCTTCTTCAGCATCAAAAAGATCTATCGCTAGATCATATTTTTGCTTTGTGCAGAATACTCCTCCGGTTTTCAATATAAAACATTTATATTAGTATGTATAAGTTTTATATTTAGGACCGAAAGAGTATAACAGTTTGAATTTGTTTTGTGCAGTTGAAGTAACTCTTGTTGCAATCCCTGCCTTATAGCTTGCTGCTCATTTATCTTCAAACCAAAACAAATGAGCCCATTATGTTGCTTCTCTACTACCT